TCGTGGGCCTTGCTCGAGTATATTCTCGGGGCTGCTTACTGAGCTGCTGACGCGCTACCTCCTGCAGTACGTGCACCTGCAGTAGTGGAACGCACTGCTGAGCATGTCTACCCGGGGCATCCACACGGAGTTTGCAATAACGACAGCTATCTCCTTTGTGAAAGAAGACCTTGAACTGAGCAAGTCTTGGTTGGAGAGTTTTCTCAAGCTTGGCCATCACTTCAGGATGCTGCTTGTTTAGGTGCTGTTTGGCTCCTTTCTGACCAACAAGGACCTGACCGCAGAGTGCACAGTGCTCCATCAGGTAATCATGGAACACCGGATTTCGAGCTGCTCCTTCTGGATTTTCCTGAGCATCAGACTGTAGACTTTCTGTAAGTGAAATCCGGTTCTGGGCTTCTAGAGGGAGCTCTTCCTGCTGTCGAAGCAAGAGCTCTACCCGAGGGCATGTAGATGCTTCGACGTGTTTGCGAAGAGAGAACACTGTTCGGAATGTTGCTCTACAGGCGCCGCAAGTTGCTGACCCTGGCATTGAATGCAAAATAGGGTCAAATTTGGGTCCTTTCAAGCTTTGCTGCGAGTCTGGGTGGGCCTTCTGCAGGTGGCGACGGAGTGCCCCGGTACCAGAGAGACATGCTCCACACTCGCCGCAGGTCAGGATCTTATCCTCTACTGATTGCGAGGAGAAGTCAATGGCAAGGCCTTCCAGAGCCTGGCTGATTGCCTCAGCGCGCAGCTTGTAGTGTGGGAGGAGCTGAGGATCTGAGTGTTGCTGTCTCTTAATGAACTGTGTCAGCCTCTTTTGCAGCTGCTCCTTCACGTGAGGAATCCGTACTCTCCGGAGTAACTCCTGGTTGGATTCCTTCGTTTCCTGGGAGTAGCTCCGCAGGACAAACCGAAGTTGGTACATCATGTGTGAATGGAGCTTCTGCAATCCCTGCTGTGTCAGTCCTACCACGTGAAGGGCATACAGAGCAGAGGCCCACGCAGTTATTGTCCAAATTGACAGACGACGTCTGTCTGATAGGACTCGATGGTTCCTAACTGCATGGGCGACTTCTGACATTGCTAGCTTACTGGATGACAGCCGATGTTTAAGGGTCTTCATTTCGTAGTCATGATAAGAAAGAATGACCCCCAGGTATGGGACCTGGTACCGCAGCGATATCAACTTGCCCGAAGGGAGTTCCACAAACTTCTCTCCATCTACCTGGCGAAATAGCTTTTTCCTAATTGTCGAGGCTGAACCTCCTTGTAGCTGCAGCAGTATTGCTGACTTGGACGGATTGACCTTGAACCCAAGTTCAACCAATTGATCCAGAAGAAGGTCGCAGTACCCTAGTGCTGTAATGAGGCCAGACTCAGACTCGAAATGCGACTGAATCAAGCTATCATCCGCATACATGGTGAGAAGTTTAACTAGTTCGGGGGGGCTGATTTTTCCAGAGAGCTTCCTAAAGAGAAGCCCGGATGCAAAGGCGAATAGGGAAGGTGCAAGCTTGCATCCCTGCTTGATTCCCCTGCGTGTGGCTATCTCAAAGCTCTGATCGCTGGCTGTCATCTTGTACAAGGCTTTGATGTGGAGATGGCCCACCACCTCTATAAGAAGAGGGTCTGCTTGTTCAGCTTCCAGGGCTTCTCTTAATCGTAGCCTGTCCACAGTGTCAAAAGCTTTGCTCATGTCAACGCTCATCGTGAGACTGCCCCTGAGCTTGAGCCCCTGTTGTCCCTTACCAGCCGCTCTAGTTGTAAGGGCCTGCCTGAACCTGGCCTGATCCACATGTGTGAGGGCCTTGCAGATCGCCTCCTCTGTGCCCCTACCTGGTACGAAGCCAAACTGAGAGACTCCTTGCATTGCTTGATGGAGGGTGGACTTGAGTCTCTGCCTCACAAGTCCTGCCAGGACCTTGCCCTCAGGTGCTATCACCCCGATCGGACGGAGTGATGTTGGCTTATCTGGCTTCTTGGGGGGCTTTGGGAGCCAAGAGATCTGTGACGAGGTGACGCTGTCCGAAAGCCTTCCTGCAGTGACTTCCCTATTGAGAGTGTCCGAGATGAGCCGAATAGCGTTGGGGCCTAGGGAGCGCCAAGCTACTATGGGAGGACTTTCTTTAGGAACTGCTTTGCCAAGCTTTATAGTGCCTAGCTGTTCTTGAACTTCTTGCTCGGTGATGTGCAGGCTGCCTTGTATCCCTGTGAGCGGGAAGTCGTCCCCTGCTCCAAACAGTTCAATGGAGTATTCCTCTAATTGTCTACGTTCTTCCTTGGCTGTTAGGAAGCGACCCTCTGAGTCACGTAGCTGAACTCTTTCCTGAGGCCTCCCCGACCGGAAGCGCTTGATCACCTTGTAGAGGGAATGACTCCCGTCTTGCTTGGATTTAAGCTCTGCCTGCTCGAGTTGTTCATCTATTTCCTGTCGTCGCCTTTCCTGCTTCTGACGCTTTGCTACCCTCGCCTGTGCACTTTGCTGAGACAGCGACAGCCAGCAGCGAAATACCATTCGGACCTGCAACTCCGGCAAGAACTCTGCTAAGACCTTGACTGACATTGGGAGTGAGCGCAACACTGTGCGCTCTGCCCAAATGCTGAGATCTGATCTTTGTGCTGCTCCCTTTCTCTTGGGAAAGTGAGTCGCGAGGGCCGAGTTCATTGCTTGATGGAGACTCTGCCAGGTTTGGGGATGATCCTGAAGGAGGGAGTCTACCTCCCTGGCAAATGCCTGTATTTTCGGGGAACGGTGTCTGTAGCAGTCCTCCATTGCCTGCTGGTCATAGGGTTTTGAGGCTTGGGCGGAGTATCTCCTGCTGTGCCTCAGTTTACCAAGAAGGGGGAAATGCCTACTACCATCCCTCCAGGATGCCACTGGGAAGGTCCTTAGTGGCCGGCAAAACCTGGCAGGGCCTTGGGACTGTGCAATCCTGACAAACGAGAAGTCAATCTGTGAAACAGAGTTGCCTTGTTCGTGGGTGGCTGGTCTATGCACTCCCCAAGTGTTGGTTGCGACTAGCTGGTGCTCCGACAGTAGGGTCTGGAGATCCTTAGATCCGCGATGCCCGAGTCTGCAAGCCTGGATCGTGCATGGCCCTACGTGTTTGTTGTCGGTCTTGAGCGAGGAGTTAAAATCTCCTAGCACAAGGAGAGTGTTGCGATTGGGAACAGCTCGGATGGACTTACTTAGGGCGTGAAGGGTCTGCTTCCGGGTTTCCTTATTCTGAGCGACTGTCTCCTTAGAGCGCCAAACGTATTGATAGCAGCTGAAGACGTCCAGTGAGATGCCGTTGCTCGGCACCCGGACCTGGAGAACTCTTCCTGGAACAACCTCGTTGTAGCGAAGATCCTGTGACTTGCACAGCGTGGAGTGCACCATTATGAGGACCCCGGCTCCCTTCTCCCCTGTGGAACCAGAGCTGATCACGTGCCAACCTGACTTGCTGAATTGCCATGAGCCCCTCCAGTGTGTTTCCTGAATTGCTACCAGCTTCACATCCTGAAATGCGGCACTTTGCAGTACGGAGAGTAACTCTTCCCAAACTGCTGTTGTGAGAGATCCTGCGTTCCAGGATAGATAGCTGAGATTCTTATCTTCTGTAAATTTTGAAGGCCGAGTCCTTCTGCCGGGATTGGTGGGCTTTACATGTGCCGGAGCAACTCCAAGCTCTGTTGACGACATCGTCCTTCCCTTGTAGACCGCACTACCTTCAAGCAGAGCTTTACGTGCTGCCCTTTGATAAGAGCGTTTACCCTTCCCTTTAGGAACGGGCTGATGCTTGGTCGAACCACTAGGCTGTTTCGCAGCACTCATGTTGAGTACGGCTCCTGTCGGCTTCGCAATACCGACAACCCTCACCTCTGGGAGATGTTAGAGAGCTGTAAATCTAGTACTCCCTCCCGGACTTGGGACCGGGACTGCTCAGGCGCTGACAAATGCCATGGCAAGAAAGGAAAAAGGCAACTGTACTAGCCTGACCTTTCCTGAGCCGAGAGGCTTACCACCACCAACAACAACAGCAACAACAACAACAACAACAGCAACAGCCACAACCACAACCACCACGACAACCACAACAACAACAATAGCAACAACAACAAGAACACCAGCAACAACAACAACAACAAGAACAACTACCACGACGGCAACGACGAGGACGATGACGACGACGATGACGAGGATGTCGACAACGACACCATAAAACAACGACACAAGACAGAAGATTTGAAATTGTAATCCCGCCTTTTTCACACGCGAAACACGACCCTGCAAATTGTAGTGCTCCAATAGCTTCATGCAAGACACAAGCAAAACCAGACCCTGCGAATGCTAGTTCCCCATTAGCTTGATGGAAAACACAAACAATAAAAGACTCTGCAAATTGTAGTTCCCCAATAGCTTGATGCAAAACACAAACAAAGCCGACCCCGCAAATTGTAGTTCCCCCATTAGCTTGATGCAAAACACAAGCACAAGAACACACCGCAAATTGTAGTTCCCTAATAGCTTCATGCAAAACACAAGCAGAAGAACACACCGCAAATTCTAGTTCCCTAATAGCTTGAAGCACAACACAAGCAGAAGAAGACCCTGCGAATTGTAGTTCCCCAATAGCTTGATGCAAAACACAAGCAACACCGATCCCTGCAAATGCGAACTCCCCAATAGCTTCATGCAAAACACAAAGAAAACCGAACCCTGCAACTTGTGGTTCCCCAACAGCTTCTTGCTAAACACAAGCAAAATCAGACTCCGCAAGTTGTAGTTCCCCAATAGCTTCATGCAAAACAGAAGCAAAACCAGAGCCGTCAAATTCTAGTTCCCCAATAGCTTGATGCAGCAAAGACCGCAGTTGCCGCTGTTGGCAACCACAACCAGTGGGCCAGACTTAGGAAAGCAAGCCGGGGAGGGCCAGACCTAGGAAAATAAAAAGCCGCTCCGCCGGGTACGTAAACAAGTGAGATTAAAGCGGTGCACGATTTACATCAGACCCCGCTCCACCCTGGTCCAGGATGTCCTGCGAGAACTCTTCCTTCTGGGGAAGGCCAGGCAGTTGGCAGCGTTACGGTTCCTCGACGTGCAAGTGCCATCGGCTCATGCTCCATTAGTCACCCCTGAAGGTGCTGGACGAGTCGAAGAAGCCCGCAGGTAGCACGGTCATCGACATCGAGTGAGTGCTGAGCGAATGCAGTGCGGTGGAAATGCGGCCGCCATCGTCAATCTCGAGTGCTCCGGTCGAAAGACCTGCCGATGACGACCGATTGCTCTTTGGTTGCTCCTTGTTGCATTCTGAGCAGGTAACTCGGTAACTCGGCCCACGGATGTGTCTAGCTCATTGCAAACTGACCTCTTTCTTGCTTCTAAGCATCACAAGCGGATCGAGATAAGCCATGTCACTACATGTGTCCTTGCGAAGTAGGAGGAAAAACATGTTGTGCCTTGATAGCAGGTGGCGTGGTGCAGCATGACTTCGGACCAATGGTTGTGTGAAGTTATCTGTCTCATCTGAACAAACTCGTTCGAAAATTGTGCAAGCGAGCACTAGGTCTCATCATTATGTTGAACCTGTGATGATGTTGATGTTGGAGGTGGTGGTGATATTGCTGGAGATGCTTCTGTGACTAAGATTATATGGACTAGCCCAAAGTAACAAGATGCAAGAGAGAGCGCGCTTAGCAGCATTGGCTTTCCAGGAGCTCGCAGCAAGCAGGAGCCGCGAGGAAGAACTCAGGCAAGATCTTACTTTGATTGCGGTTGGCATGCCTGTCGCACCGATGCTGTTTGTGATGGTATTGCAATGTTGAGTGCTATACCGACATCCTTGCGACGATCCTTCCCTTCATGATCCGTATTCGTCCACGCGTGGAGGTGATTGTTGCTCGTCATAAGGCTTTAAACGGCGATGTCTTTTTTTGCGTCGGTGACGCTGGTCACAGTAGTAATCAGATCCGAAAAGGTGGGCGCTACATGGCTATGGGTTCGGGCATGGAGCATGCGACACATTGTCACGTTGTTGCGTCTTTATAGCGCGTTATGGTTGTACATTTGTTGTATACTTGTCGGGTCATATGATTTCATTGGTTCGTATACGTGTATTTAAAACATATATATATATATATATATGCATATGTGTGTGTATGTATGTGTGTATGTATGTACTTATGCATGCATGTACATGACATGCCTTGAAATGCCTCAAGTGTTTACTTCATATATCTCATATCTGTGGGTGACACAAAGTCTCATATCTGTCTGTCTCTCTCTCTCTCTCTTTCATTTGCCGTGGTGCAGCCGGCAGGGGGCAGATGGCCACTACTTCGGCGGATGCGCCATCAGGCAGTGCAAGCCTTGCACAACACGAGTGTCCGTTGCTGGTGAAACTGCGACGGATGTCATTGGAAGCTGCTCGGAGGCCAACGTGTCGCCTCTCTCGAAGAGAAGGCTGGCCGTAAGTGATGGACGGCAGAGATGTCAGAGCACTTGCGGCGGGCAGGTGCAGCTCCAGCAGGATCAGTTGAAGCAGCTTCGAGCCGCGACTTGGCATCAACTTTTCCTCGGCCATGAATCCTTTGTGGCACGTGTGACCTGCCAAGGCGAGAGACAGCATCCTCGCAGCCCAGCAGGACTTCGTGTTTTGCACGGCCTGGTGAGTCCCATACCGCAATTCCGCCGAGTCTGACAGGACCTTTCCGGAGCACTTGAGGATGAAGACTTGTCCCCACGGCAGATGATGCAAGACAGGCCAAGCGGTTCTTCCTCCCCGGTTGCTTGATGAGTTTGGTCTGGAGATCAGCACAGGATGGCAAATTATTCGAAGGGAACCGCCTGGGTGGAAACATCTTTGGGGCAAAAGGCATAAGAAATGCCGTGAATCCTGAAGTTTTATGATCGACCAAACTCAAGCAAGAAGACCTTGTTACGTGGCTCAAGGTGTCGGGTTCGTTTCGATTTGACATCCGCCGAAACCGCCATGGCCGCCCTGCATTCTGTCCGCTGCGAGTACACCGAGGGCAGCTCTTCGAAATTCTGGGAATGTGCACGCTGGGACAAAACTACGGTCGTGTCCTTTGGGAAGATCGGAGGTGTTCCCTCCACTAGTACGAAGGTGCACAAAGACTTTGCGGCTGCCATAGCCTTCTTGGAGAAGACACAGGTGTCCAAGGAAAAGAAAGGCTACCACGTGACAGGCAAGGCAAAAGTCACCAGGATGCCGCCAGGGGCCGGAAAGAGTGCCGGTGCCAAGGCGAAGGCTAAGCCAAAGGCCAAGGCAGCGGCCATGAAGGCCGTCATGAAGACAGCCATGAAATCTACGTCCATATCGGGAAAGAAGAAGCTGGCCGGCAAGACCCTCTGCTTCACAGGCGCTTTGACTATGAAGCGTGGGCTTGCGAAGACAATAGCAAAAGCAGCCGGGGCCAAGGTCACCTCCTCAGTATCCAAGCTCACAGACATTCTGGTGGTGGGAAAGGATGCGGGCTCAAAGGTTTTGAAGGGTGCCCCGCATATGCAGTACTGGGACGAGAAAAAATTCATCAAGATGGCGAAGTGAAGCGCGCCGCAGACTCGTAGACCAGTATCGGTTTTTTACAAATATTCGTGGATCCATTCTTGCTGAAGCTTTTTGCATTCCCCCAACCCAGCCTGCACCGATATGGTAGCAGTCGTTTCGCAACATGAGAGGGATCCACATGATGCGTGTTTGCGATAGAAGCACCGATCAAGTTCCGAGGATAACAAAGCTCTGGCTCTGACAAAATAGATGAACCCGTCCGGGCTGACATGGGGTATCGATCATCCCTTGATATAGCTATTATATACCCATTATATAGCCCATTATAGGCTAGGGGTATGAGTGTGTCGAATTAGGACTTGTCGCGTGACCGTGGAGCTTGATTGCAGACCCTTCCCGCGCTTTGCGCTTCGGCCGATGTGCGTGCAAAAGATTCACAGCTCCCCTTTGGCTGCAACGCTTTGGAGATACAGAGCGATTCATGACGAATGGCACCATGATGCACCACGTCTACCACTGAGTTACTGCGCAACGAACCGTTGTAGCTATTGCAAAAGACACATCGAATTAGCTATGAAGAACATGGTTGTTGTACAACTGTCCCTGCAATGCGGGCTTCGTCCTTGCTAGGTAGGAGGGAAAAATTGCAAAAGTGGATACGGTGATCACCAGATTCACTTGCAAATGTCGTTCAGTCGTCATGCAGGCAGTGCCGATTTCTTTCGGCCCAGCTGCGGATCCTGCTTAATCACTCGCAGGAGGCCGTTGGTGCCATCGGTCTCTCGCTCACTTGCTGATCTCTCCCAAACCTTCCCGCTGACTCTCGGTTGCTTTCTGTGATTGCATGTGTACACACATACATACATATACATATATACACACACTTGTATACGCAAGGGTAATATGTGAGCAACATGTACGACTCTCCTCCTCTCCATGTCCAACTCCATAATGTAAACATACGCATGCCTGCGTGCACCTCGCTCTCTCTCTATGTATATGTATATATGACATCTTGGAAGTATCTGCATGCGTTTGTGTACGTATAATTATGGTCCCGGTTTGGTCGGTGGACTGTCCTGACCGTGTGTGCTTGATGTGAAGTCTCCTCCTCACCGTAGTACGGTGTGGTTCTGGTTAGTCGACTCTCTTTTCGACTTTCATTGCTGTGGTGCGTTTCGGGCTGCTGCAGCGTGGATGTGGGGCAGAGCCTTGGAAAGGGGGAGGGTTCGGCGACAGGACAATCAGAGTCCGGCATCCAAAAGCTTATGTATTTGTGTGTGTGTGTGTACGTGCGTAAATGTGCATCATGGTGTATCCAGGTATCTGCGTATTTGTATATGCATGGGTTTACGCATGCACGTGCGTGTATGTATGTATGTATGTCTGTATCACTTCATGTATGTATGCATGCATGTATGGTTGCACGTATGTATGTACGTACGTGCGCAGGTATGTACGTATGTATGTATTCGTATAATATAGCATTAAATATAGCCCATGTATGAATGCATATACGTATGCATGCATGCATGGCAACTTGCAAAGCAGGACCCACAAACCCTACAGTGTAGAACCAAAACACACGGTGCGCAAGGGGTTTCGGGACTAGTCTGTCATGAAACGAGAGCTGTAAAGCTTTGAAAGCAGAAGACTCTAGCCACCCTGGTGGCACAGATGGAGCAGTTGCTCGACTCCCAGCAAGTGGCCGAGCATGGGGAATCAAGGCACTTCTGCCGATGCCTTTGCTTGGTGTTCACGTGTTGTGGGTTTAAGAGTTTAGGGTCGAGGATTGCGGTGCGGGTTTGGATGCCGGCTTCTGCTTGGAGCCAGGTTTCTGTGGGCTTTGGATGGTTCTGGACTCGGCTGTAAACATCGCTCAGATACGATATGGCACGAATGAGTGCAAACTTGAAGCAGTAGATTAAAACATTGGCACATGTACATTTAACGTACAAAATGTAGTTGGCATTGCTACAAAATCTGATTGCTGGCAGAGCTACCCCAAAGCTTGGGACCGTTCTGCTCGGCATGTGAACCAGACAGCAAGACTTGATGGGTTCACATCATGCTCACCGAGATTCCCGGGCTGTTTGTCCAAACTCGTTTCATCACAAACTCGAGACACCAAACTCGAGATGTGCAGGCATCAGATTCGTCGTGACTCTTGTGTAGGCGCCGGCAGTCGCTGCAGCGTGTGCACGAAGAAGGGAAGCGCGTGTTCGACGAGCTGTCGGAGAAGCTCTATACCCTGGAGGCAAAGCGGGTAGGGGTTGCGTCAATTTGAACGCGTTAAATCCGAGCTTCTCCTCACAGTAGCTGAAGCACGCAAGTCTTCTGACTGCTGCACGCAAATACGTCGTAAGCTCCCCTTTTCCATACAACTCGTCGCAGGTGCAGAAGGCGGACGTCGATGAGGAAGTCGGGAGGTTGCAGGCTGCGACGACCTACCTGCACCCATCCAATTTCTGTGCGTGGTGGATTTTGGGGAATGGTGGAAAATTTGGGGGTTGTGTAAGAGGTTCCCTGCCCGAATTCCTTGCCTAGGTATGTTCCGTCTTTCGTGTGCATTAGACCAGTGGATTGGTTTGGTCGTGCGCAGTGTGCAACTCCACCAAGTACTGTACATAGAGCCCTCAACTTGGCGCTGGGCACGGATGCAAGACTGCAGATGTGTGCATTCTGCTTTTGCTAGTCCCTTAAAAGTTTCGCAGGTCGAACGCGATTTAAAGTGCTGCAAGCATAGCTGGTTCAGCAGAAGGGCTTGCACAGCTGCGGTATCAGAGGGAATAAAGAGCGATGAACTGGCACTATGTCATCAACATACCACAGTGAGATGACATGAGCAGGATCCCAAGGTCACCAGTCACCACATGCACCACATCAGTACACACAGCATCATGCCAGGTCCAAGTGGCCGAGCTGGAAGCGCAAGTGGTGGCTGTTCCTGGCCTCAAACTTCAGGAGCTGCCTCGTCACCAGCACAGGAGCATCGAAAGCCGACGGTTCTGAACACAAAGGACAAGCCAGAGTTTTGCGGTTGAAAATGATTGAAAGTAACAGACAGTGCGTGATCAAGGCATTTCCAACCAACCCATAAAGTGTTCATAGTTTAATTGAGTTTCCTGGGTGCTGATGGCACTGTGCTTAACATGGCCGAATTACATACCCCCTGTGTGTACATTTGCATGTATGTATGTTTATGTACGTACCTGCCAGAAACGTACCTACGAGCTGTGTACACGTACACAGACACTACATATACACATTTATAGATGTTTATGTAGCTGGGTCGACTTGAACATCTTCATCTGGACCCTAGGCTATTGTGACGATGTTCGCCCAAGCGGCCGGGGAAATGCGAACGAAGCTTCGGAGCCGAACCAGAACCGTGACCATGTCGGATGCTTCATATCTCCAAGGCGCGTCGCCAGCGTGACGAGCTCCGTGCCTCCACCTCCGCAAGCACCGGCCGGCCCTCCAGCGCAGGCCGGGGGCATTCTACGAACAAACAGGACGAAGGAACAAGCTAGCAGCCAGCGTCATTCAAGGCTCGGACGTCGTGTCGTGTCCATGGTTGGCAGCATAGGCGAAAGGCTGCGTAGAGGTGCGACCTGGAAAAGCTGCCCTGAAGCTGCCCGCACACCCGGACGTTGATTTACGTTGCGTTCTAGTGGATTTCTCGGAGATTTTTGTGCAGGAGCCATGAACTCCAGCAGAAGACAGGATTGGCTCAGAAAGGCTTACCTTTTGCTGGCTGGTTGGCAGCCAGCTTAAGGTTCAGCCGCTTGATGTTGCGAGTGCATGCAAACGCAGGCACCATGAACTCTGGCGCAACTAGCTCGCACGTACTTCGATCGAACAGCCACAAACTGCTTTAAATCCATCCTCGAGTTTTAGGCATTTGCAACACGACACGACACAAGGACCATTCAACTTGCCGATCAGGAGGTGATCGGCTGAATTGTACCAGAAGGGCAGCAGCAACAGGGCTTGAAACCAGCTGTATCTAAAGATAGCAAAAGCAACTCTTTGCGGCGATGGCATGCCGTTCGCACAGGCTTCGAGCTGGGCGTTCCGGTGGGCCTGGTACGCGCTTCTAAGGCTTTCACCGCCACCTCAGCTGGGCCCTCAGGGGAAAGTTTCGGAGTTCCGGATTTATAAGACTTTTACCGTAAAGCATATCAGCATCATCATCACCATCATCATGATGAGTTCCCTGGCATGTGCCAGCAGTGCAGCAGGCCAAATTCATAATCGTCGCCATCATCACCATATCATCATCATGTGTGATATCTAACGTATTGGTGGCATTCACGATTATCATTGCCATGTTGTGTTCATTTTCCATGATATGAAGGGGAAGGCTGTGAACGTGAAAACAAGACGATCCTCCTCGTGATTATGTCAGCATGATTCGTGTCGCTCCTGCCATGAAGACTGCGTTTACGATTTGTGCTTGGCATCCGGCGCCCAGGCCACATCGGACACCCGCTCGCGAGCTTCGCTGGAATCGCCTACCGGGGGACAGCTTTTAGGACAGGACGTAGGCTGTTCGGATTCAGTCTAGGATGGTATCCGGGCAGGCTTAGGGGTGCCTGGCGAGGCAACAGGGTAGCGGGGCCTGCTGCCCCTGGCGGGACGTGGCCCATGACCAGCCAAATCAGAAGTTGTTGTCGCGGTGCTTTGAGTGTTGTACTTCATGTCGCCATGCGCAGGAACTGCAAACAGCAGCAGTGTCCTGGATGAACAAGTTCGGGGATCCTTCACGATCCGCACCAGCTTACACGGTAGCAGTACGCAAAACAAAGAACATAAAGGATCGTTAGCAGTCATGAGCGGAAAACAGTGCATAGAACTGTCCAAGACACATGTTATGGAAATGGAATTCTTACCCACAGGCGATACGGTTTACTACGCACAGCCGTTTGCTTTGCCATGCAGCTTTGTTTGTAGATACATAAAGCAAAGCCAATACCGATAGTCCAGTTCTTTGAGGTTGCCATGATACTTAGGTTCAATTGAATGTTTAGCGTGTCGGAGGGCATTGTAACGGCCTAGCATGCCTGCCGGTTTGTCTTGAGACCGAAGGACCGCGCACAGGTGAGCTAGGCTCTTCAAGCAAACATGATCTGCTTCGGTGTGGGCAGTGGGGAGCTCGCGGTTCATTCCAAGGCTCGGACCCGGGTGCCTTCTTCGGAGGACACAGTCAGTATGAATCCAGCCGTTGCGGTGCTGCACTGCGTGAGACTGTGGGGTCAGTGGCTACTCGTGTGGCCGACGCAGCTTCTGGAATATCCTTCGAACAAAACATGGCGCTGCAAACACTCGGCTTCCAACACGACGGTATCATCTCCCACCCCTTCAAATCCATTCGCAAGCACATGACACCACTCGCGGCGTGGGGCATCGTCAGCTGAAGCTCAAGCCAGAAAATCGCGCATCGCCACCGTCACCGTCGTCATCATCATCAGCATCATCATCATCATCATCATCTACGTCAGCACCATCATCATAGTCGTCGTCAGCCTCATCCTCATCTGCCGGACGTCATCACCCCTCCCCACCCCGACATAAAGTAAATTCGAAAGGAGACCTCAAGACCAACGAAGTACCGACATCTCAGGTAGGAATCCTGCCTGCCTCGAGCGAGTGTGCGAGTCGAAATGACAAGTCCCACAAGCAAACCGGGAAAGGTGCCAAAGCCATGAAGTCTGCACCAAAAACCCTGAAACCCGCGAAATACACGAAGTCACCACAGATTGTCACACCTGGCTTTTGTCGATTCGGGTGTATCGACTCTTCTGATGCCGGCGCTCCATCTTCGACGGATCGTTCGCCTTCAGGAACCAGATCAACATCGGAGCTGCGTAGCTCCCCAAAGACGCACTTGGTGCAGGCCGTTTGTACTCGCAACGGACAGCTCAATCTATCAGAACCATGCCCAGTATGCTGCTCCTAACGTGTTTCCCTGTTACTTTGAACGTCTGTTCATCATGTACCTTCAACATTCCACTTTCTAGCGGGCGTGGCTGAGCAGTCTGACAGCTGCACACCCATGTCTCCGTCAGCACAACACACGCTGAATTTCTTCGGCAAGACTTGCAATGTGCTCGTGTCGACGGAAGTTTCAATGGCTCAAGCAGACCAGCTGGGCTTCAGCATATAGTCGCTAAGCACCCATCGGGGATTTGCAGACCCTGTAATGAGCAAAGTCTACCACGTTGGCCAGCTGGTGGTCGTTCGTGATGACCCAGGAGACTCTTGGCACTGCACGTTTTCCTCCAGAGCGGCCCAGAAGTCCTCGTGAAAAGACGGCCTCGGAGTTCTCCAGCTGTCTTTAAATTCATCAAGGCTTTGGAGGAGTTGTGGAGTTGCCAAGGCGCATCCTGTGTGTTCACTTGGACCATTGATTGCGGATACCCGAAGAACAGAACCAGCTCCAGCTACCGCTTCGCAAAAACACATGTGAAGCTCGTGAACGTGCCCGTCGAGTTCGGTCCCGAATTCCAGGCACGGGCTCAAAGGCAGGCCAGGGAGAGAAAGCAGAACTTGTCTGTCCTTCAGCATAGCGGTCAAAGCAAGGAAGCGCAGTGAAAAGACTACGTCCTTGCCTGGGATGCTGTCGAGAAAACTGCAGGTCGGTAGTGCAAGGTGTGGCAAGAATCTCAGGATCCTGGCCGTTACAGCTTCTAGCAGCTCATGACTGTGCAGATTGGGGGCATCATATTCTGTTGGCAGCAGGCACGCATTACCATCAAGCTTGCCAGTAGCATCATGCTGCTTAACTGGGATGTTGATCCGACTGACGCCATCGAAGGATGTGTTGAACCGGGTGCATGACCATGCCCAGCGCGAGAGATTACAGAATGGGTTGCAGCAGGGCCCATGCTTATCTTCGATATCCTCGAAATGGCTGTGGTCCAGTTCCTGCAAGATGGCGATGAAGCGATCCTGGCATACAGGCTCAAGAAGTCTGCTCGACTGTTCAATGACACCACATTCATGGCCATGCTGCTGAGTTGCAACGTTTGCTGCAACAGTGATTTGTACATTACTTATGCTGGGTTGAACGTTGATATTTAGAGGCCCTAGCTTGCCTTGCAGTCATCGGGCGAAGATGTGCAAGCAGGCGATTTGTCAAATGCATGCTGCCGCTCAGTGCCATGCGTTTTGCATAATTTGGGAATGTGTCCAGTAACATGCCGCCGCAATAGCACCGGCGAAGCCATGCACCAAGCTGGCTGGCTAAACAAATCCAAAGGATGGTTCGCTACTTCACATGCTCAATACATAATAATTTGTATCGCCAGGCTCGAAGTGAGTGTCCAAAAATCATACAAATTTGCAACCCAATGCCTGATCGAGAAAAGTGCCTTCATGGAGCTGCGTGGTCGCTGATTGAAGCGGGGCTTTGGCATGCCTTGGCTCCAAGACCTGGTTGCCAGGGGGTCGTGAAGGTCCTGTCCCCCAACTCTTTCATGGCAGCGCCCCAAGTCCTGCAAGGGTCCGGATTATGTTGCCGCTGATTCTGGTTCTTTCCATGG